GAGCAAAAGGACACCAGGTCCCAGCTGGACGCCAGCCGGCAGAATCACTACTTGGCCTTGCGGGGCGTCGCCGCGCACGATCTCGAGGACAGGGCTGGGCCTAAACAGTGTTTTTGGCGATTTCGTGGGCCGTTTTCGTTTCGACTTCGTTTTGAGGTAAAAGCGGATTCGAGACAAAAGCGAGGGAAAACGAAAACAAAACGAAAACGAAAAACACCGTTTAGGTTTATGATACATGGGTCTTGCTAAAGGAGCCAATCTTGGGAAACAATTAAAGTAGCTCTACAATAATATGAAGATTTAACTTAGGGATACTATTGATAACTAACGTGTTTTTAACGGTCCAAGTAAGTAGACGACCCCGCGGGCCAGGCCCGCGAGGCAGAAGGTTACATCGAACTCCCCGCGGTGCTGAACACTGCGAGATCGTTTCGCACGTGATTTCTCCCAGAAGGGCCCCTTCTTCCCAGCACAAGCCCCGCGGGCGGCGAGACCCACGGCGCGCGAATGCATCGACTCACGCGCCCGCCGATTCAAACAGCGCAGGCGCATTACGTATATTCGTATAGATGTCCATCCCTTGGGACTCGCATCGTACATGTTTGATGCGTAACTATTTCTAGGTGTTGTCCCTCTCGTGCTGCTCGAATCCAAAGTGTGTAACGTATATCATTACAGATCGCCCCTCGCCTTGGTGCTCGAATCCTATGTGTTTTGGCACATTTCAGACACGGGGAAAGGATCGTAAAGGAGGGGGCGGCGGACGAGAGAGGCAAGGTGGATGGGGCTGAATCTGCGGCATAGGTGCGAACGGGGAGGGGATGGTAAGAGAAATGGGCGGAGGAAGGAGGGGAATGGGCAAACGCGATCGGGATGAATAAGCGAGGGGGGGGGCGAAGCGGAAGCTGAGGCCGACGAGAGGGGGGAGAGGGTAGGAAGCGGGACGAGGGAGGGAGTGGTGAGGGCGGTGGGCGGAGGGGGATGCAGGAGCCGAGGGGGAGATGACGGGAGGGCGGCACGGTTGGAGGAAGGCCGACGGGAGGAGGCAAGAGGGCGGATGGGGGCGAGGGAAAAAAGAAGCGATGATAAGGATGGATGGGGTGGGGAAGGGAACGAGGGTGATTATTAGGATGACGACGGAGGGGAATGAGGAACAACGTGGAGGACTGATGATGATGGTGACGATGCTGACGACATGTGCTTCACCATACTTAGTGTGGCAAATCTTCCGCACCAGCGCCTCGAAAACGGCTCGACTAAACCGTCGAGCACCACGAAATTTCAGATCAAATGCTGCAGCTGCTGACTCACGTCCTCGCTCCCTCATCATCCTGCTGCTCCTCCTCGTCCTCCGTCTCCTTCCTATTCCTCCAACCCCGCCCCTCTGAGCGAGGACGAACACGGGGCGCCTGGCTGCTCTCGGGGGCCGCTGGGCCGCGAGCAGCGGCCTAGGGCGGCGCAGGCTTCATCTGAAGCGCCAGCTTCACCCGCGCCATGAGGGCTGGATGGAGGAGAGCGGCTTCCTTCTTCAGCTTGGTGTCAGCACGGAACGCCAGCAGCTCTGACTGGACGGCGTCCCGCAAGACTTGCAACTCAGTCACAGTCTTGAACTTGTGGGCGAGCACGCCGCTGACCTTGGAGACCTGGGCGTTCAGCACGGCCGCCGCCGCGTTCTCGAGGACGACCGTGGAGGGCTCGGCGCCGCTCAACTCGGCGGCCTCCTTGTACGCGGCGGCGGCCTGGGAACGCCGTAGCGCATGAACCATCGAGGGCGGGGGAGGGAGACCAGGAGCGAGCGAAGACGTCAATGATGAGAGGTGGGTTTGCAGGCGGGCCCCAAGCCCGCCTGACAACCCACCTCTCATTAAACGATGTCCGCACCGCTCCTCACCTCCCCTCCGTGCCCGCACACGCCAACAACTCCCACCGAAACCTCCTCCACCTCCACATTCCTCAGCCTTGCCGTCCGCGGCCCGCCTGCATGGGTCCTCATCCTCCTCCCGCCTCCCCTGGTGGTGTTGTTTAATTCGCATGGGTGCCTCCAGTCCGTCATCGATGAGTTTCTTGAGCTCGATGGGGTTGATCTTCAAGACGGTGTCGTCGCAGTGGGCCAAGAAGTCGGAGAACGTCGACCCCTTGAACGAGTCCTGCCACTTCACGATGGGGGCGCTGTCGTCCGCCTGCGGGCCCGAAGCGACCTTGGCCAACTCCACTGATGCCGTGATCACTGCATCCTTCTTGGCGGCCGCGTTGGCGTCCAGGATCCTCGTCAAGCTCGCCGAACCCTCTGTGGCGAATTGCTTCAGCTTGATGGCCGTGTAGTCGTCGCGACCCTGGGTGACAGTCATCATCTCGCCCACCTCAACAGCCGCCTGCTTGAGCTGCTTGATCTTCGTGTCGAAGCTGCTGAAGGCCAAGATGTTCTCGATGAGGGGCGGCTGCTCGAGCAGCGAGGCGACGCATTGAAAGTCAACCCACTGCGACATCAACCAGACGACCTTTTGCAAGAGCGGCGCGTAGGCGCACCCGAAGTTGGCCTTGGCCCCGACGACCGCGGCCAGCTTCATGGAGACGCTCAGTAACTTCTCGGCGGCGGCCGCGTCGATGGAACTCACATTCTGCATGGTCACCTCGAAGGCCACGGTCTCGCCCAGGGCGATGGCGCACTCCAACATGGCCTCGGCGTGGTGGTCAGTCAAGTAGTTGGGGTCGACGTGCGCTCCAGTCACGGCGCCCAGCAAGGGGTCAACTTTAGAAGAGACGGCCGCGGTGGTGGAGATCTGCGGGTTGCGCACGCACGCCTCCGCAACGCCATTGGAGAGGGTGCGCAGCGCCTCGATCTTGGAGCCTTGGTCGAGCTTGACCAACGCCTCCGCACTCTCCTCCATCCACTGGTGGATCGTCGCGTCGTGCGGGTGCAAGCCGATCGCCTCGGCGAGCACGCGGTTCCACTTCTGCAAGGCGGCCGCTGGGTGCGACCCATCCTTCGTGCACACGCGCTGCTTCTCCAAGCACATTTTCAGCTGTCGCTCCGTGGAGTCCAAAGACCCCAGCCTCAGCGCGGGTTTCATCTCGGAGAGCTCCTTGAACGCATCGGCCAACTGTTCGTACATGTCCTCGCCCCCGGCAAACTCGTTCGCGAACTCGTCGACCTCCACGACGCGGCCGTGATCCTGTCTCAAACCAGGGGCGTGCTCGATGAAATCCCGCATCTGGCTTTCATACCAAGGGTTCATCGCGACTGCAGCCGCCACGACGACCAAGGGCGACCTGGTCGTTTTGCCGAGAGCGGCGCGCAACTTATCGACGGGGTCATCAAACATCCGAAAGCGAGAACATAACGTGAGCGGCACACGTTGACGGCGTGCTTGCCCCACCCCAAGTTGCTGGCAACACGTTCCGTGCTTGCCCACTTCGACGACCGAAGGACCACCGAGGGAGGAAAGCACGAACGCAGACTACAACTACCCCAAAACGCACCGCCCTCCTCGAGCCATGTTACGCCATGGGACCTGGAGGTAAACATGGCGGGGGGGGGGGGGCTCACTCCCCCGCCGCCCCCCCTGCCCCAGCGAAAATTTGGGCAGAACGGCATGGGGATGCAAACAATCCCAATGCAGAACAGGAAGCACGCGTCAACCAAACAAATACTTACAACTTGAGTGGGGCATTCAACTTTGCCACGCACGTTACCTCCTGGCTTTCGGAACTCACGCGCCCTCCAACGATGGGTCCAATGACGTCGACACCAGCCCCAATACTGCCCTCCACGCGTCGAGGCACTCCGAGATGCACGCGCCAGAGGGGCCGTCCAAACACACCAGGTCCACATCCTCGAACTTGTCGATGCAGATCGTCGCGCAAGTCTTCACCTGGCCCTGGGAGTCCGCGCCCTTGCCGATCATCCCGAGGAAAAGGGTCTCGATGGAGATGTGGACGAGCAGCTTCGTCTTGGAGGCCATCGGAAGGGGGGCGTCGGCAAGCCGAGGGCACTCAGGGTCGAACTTGCCATTGACTGAGCTGCTGAAGGGATCCAACGCATCGAACAAAGCCTTCATGTCGCCAAGCTTTTGAAGATCCGCCAATCGAAGGTGAAGCAATTTCTCCATGTTGGGCAAGGGCCATATGACATCCTCCCCCACCATCTTCCGCACGTACAGCTTCAAGTCGTCGGGGAAACACGTCGGCATGTTCTGTACTTGGAGGCACTGCGCCGCGACGATCGTCTTGATGAAGTTGTTGAGCAACTGCGCCTCCGCCTTCACGGCATCGTCCTCGCTCTGGGTCATCCTCGCGGCCGCCTTCTTGCAAGCGCTGATCGTCCCCCCGTCGACCTGGCCGCTCATCACCATGGCCAAGCTGATCTTCGATTTCCCATGGTCGAGTGCACCCGTGCCTGCAGCGGGGCCGCTGCAACGCACGCATCGAGGGAGGTCCATGGCGGGCGCTCCACGCACGAAGAGGGCGAGATATTGAAGTACCAGGTGCGTCCCTGGAGGGCTCGGGCACCTCGAAGTCGAGGAGGGGCGAGATGACGGCGACGGGAAATGCGAGGAGGACAGGGGGGATGGCGATGGGAAGAGAGACGGAGGGAGGCTGCGCACGCGCTGCCAACCCGCCAACGAAAGCGCATGGCAAACGCACGTTCGCCAAATCGGACATGGCGCAAACGTTTGCCACGCAATCCATTGGCAACCTGGCAGCGCACTCATCGTCTTTCGCCTGCGCATGGACCCACCCCCGCGCGATTGCAACTCCCCCTGCGAGGAGCCTGCGGGGGCCAGCATGCACAGCTCGGAGGCCCCAGCATTGGATTGGGCCTCATCTCCAGCAGCCGAGGCGGCGTCGGAGATCGCCGAGGCGCCGAAGGTCTTGAGCCTCTTCAGCGGGCCACCCACGCGCGATGCCGGCGGCGACGGCGACGGCTGTGCTGGAGAAGACTTGCCCGAGAGGCGCACGGGCGGGCTTGACGATGGGCCAGCCGCACGGCCGACCAACTCCGCGCCCTCGCTCTCGTCGTCGGAAGCGGCGGCAACGTCCGCGAGGGCAGCGCTGCCATCCGGCATCGCCGCGTCAGCGCCGTCGCCGACTCCTTCGCCCTTGGCCCCCTTGGACTCCAAGAACTCATCCAGCGTCTTCATGAAGCCATCCCTGTCCTTCTCCAGGATGGTGAGCACGCCCGCCTGGTCATGCATCAGGCGCGACTTGCTTGAGCAAATGACCGTGTGTTGGTTCTTCCACAACTGCTTGTCTCTGTCCATGATGTAGTTGTCGCGCCCAACGCCTGTGCGGGATATGATATCCACAGTCCTGCACGGCATGTTCGGATTCACGAACCTATACCCCAGCTCCCAAACATCCTCACCCTCCTTCGGCACCTGTGCGGTGTACAAGCTCTTAGTGCTCTCCTTCGCGAGGCGCCTGGTCTGCAACGCCTTCCTCAAGTCGCTCTCCGTCAAGACGATGTAAGACCTCCTGGACTCGATCGCGTGGTCGGTGCGCTCGAGGACCTCCTGCACGGGGGTCGGCGGCGGCCCCTGCTTGTTGTGCACCTTCCTGGCGGCGGCGATGTCCGCCTTGACCTGTTCGTCAGATTGGTTCGCCCGGCAGAACGCGCCCCACTCCATGTGGGAGAAGCCGTCCTCGTGAATAGAGAAGCACTCCTCGCACTTCGGCCCGATCGCCACCTCCACAAGGACCAGCGCTTTCCTCGCCATCTCCCCGAGCGCCCACGGCTCGCCGCCCTGCGAGCCGAAGCGAAAGAGGAGGAAAGCAAAAGCGGCGCTCAGCGACGGCTGAGGGCGATCGAGGAGGACGAGGGGGTCGTGGAGGGAAGACGTGTGTTGATGGAAAACCCTCCGAAGAGGGAGCTGGCGTCCTTGGCGAACGCCTTGCAGAGGCCGCACTGGCAGTTGTCGCCGCTAGGCTGCTTCTTGCCGGCCTGCCTCTGCGTCTCTGGGGCCGCGGACGCGCCCGAGCTCGACGGAGGCGGTCGGGCCTTCGGAGGCGGCGGCGTTCTGGACCTCCCAGCGCTCGCAGCAGCGTCGGAGGCCTTGCCCGCTGCGCGCGGGGGCGGTGGGCCCATCAGCGCGCCTCCATGCTTCGGCGGAGGCGTCTTCCCCCGATGGGCCATGCCGCCGAGGATGCCGTCTGAAAGTCGGGGAGATGCCGACCCACCGCAGATTGCGGCGAAAACCTCGAGCAAGCCAAAATGGCTACGGATCCCCAGGAGGGCCGACGAGGAAAGCACTGTCCGAAGGGACGCCTTCGCAAACAACAGCGCCAATGGCAAGAAACATGTAAGGGAATCGCACGCGGGCCCGTCCTCGGGCCTGCCGTGGGCCCCATGCGGTGGCCCACCAGTCTGGCCAAGACGATTGTGGCTCACTTTGGGAGCGCTTGCTGCTACACCCCCCCCTCATCAAGGCAACCCGGGGGGGAGGAGGAGGAGGAGGAGGAGAAGGACGAGGAGGATGGGGAATGAGGAGGAGGAGGATGAGGAAGAGGAGGAGGGGGGGAGGAGGAGGGGGAGGAGCAGGTGGAGAAGGAGGAGGAGGAGGAGGATCACCATCATCATCATCAGCATCATCATCATCACCATCATCATCATCGACACCATCACCATCATCTCCATCATCATCATAACCATCATCATCATCGTCATCATCATCACCATCTTAATCACCACCCGCATCACCATCACCAGTGGCATCATATGTTGCATTGGCAGCGTTGCATCTGGCGCTTTCTGAGACGGCCAGCACGCCCCAAGATAACCCAAGATGGCCCCAATGCGTCTCCGACACGGCCCACGCTGCACCCGAGACGGCCCAAGGCAGCCTCGAGATGACCCAAGACGGCCAGAGACGACCCCAGGGCGCATCCAAAGCGGAAGCGGTTCACTTTTCGATTGCTTGTTGCGGCGCTTGCTTCATGAAGGCACCTCGCCTGGCGGATGTTTTGGGATGGGCTGGAAGGGATACGCGAAGCGTGAAAAATTGCTTGCGCGGCGTCCAAGCAGGCCCTGGCTCCAACGTTTGGCGCGCCCCCCCACCCCCCCCCCCCCCCCAAGGCGCGGTGGAATGGCACGCACCCTGCAACGCACGGTTTCGGGCCCCGTGCACACCCCCAGGAGGTTGCGAGAAAACGACATGCCATCGCCTGGACGGCCCGCCAAAGGCCCCACGAGGCAGGAGACGTGCCATTGGCACGCTCACCAATACGGGGGAGAACAACAACAAAAAAATGCCCTGCAGCCGCCCTGGCTTCTCCGACAGCAGCAGTTCTCCCACCTCCCCCCTATCACCCCCATCCCCCCACATTGCATCCCCGTCCTCACCGACAACCTCCTTGCTCACGCGGGTCGCGCCCCTGCGTGCCGCTCGGTGGTCAACGAAAACCCGAAGTAGCTTATCACACAGCCATTTATACATACGTGCAATCGGTGCTCATACGAATGATTGCGTTTTAGAACTATACACAACATCACGCGTCTAACATGTGCAAATCATGGGCATACGGATTGCGTGTGTACGTAAATCTAGTAACATAGCTCCGCCACCAAATACAATACATAGCACCCGCTACACTGTGCCAAGCGTATGGATGGACGAGTGGCCGCAACGAAGAGGAAGACAGAACACGAGAGCGGCGAGATCCCAAGCGAAACGTACACATTGTCATATGTCAGCATGCCCCTTCATTCTACCGCACACACATTCTGCCCATGCGGCAAGATGCCAAATCGAATTTCGTAAAACAACGTCGCACCAAGGAGGTGAATCAAGATAAAGGTTTGCAGTTGCGCCCCCCCCCCCCCCCCCCACCACACCCACCCACCACCACCACCACCACCACCACCACCACCACCCCCACCACTGCCCCCCGACCAGCCCATGCATGGCGCAGTCCATACTTACCTGGGTTAGCCTGTACAAGTTTCACCAACAAGCACAACCATAAACATACACACATTATGTTGTGCCCCCCATGCGCCACCGCAAAGAGCGGACGCGGCGCGTCAGCAACGACACCCAGGCAAGCAAGACAGAACCAGCCAAGCGAGGTTGGCATCACGCACGGGCACGGGGCACGTGCATTCCAGAGAAACGGGCACAGGGGGAGGGGGGGGGGAGGGGGCGATGCGGAATGCGGGGCGCGGTGGGTTGCGCCGCGCGTGCAGTGGCGGGCCGCGCACACCCCATCTGCAACATCCCACAACACATACGCGCGCTAACAACCATCACAACAGCGCAGGCCACCCCACGACCACCCAAACATCGCAACCGCTCAGACAATACCCTGCTCAACCGCACCCTCCCCCGCCACAACCTCCACATATAAACTTCCAACATACCACCGTGCGATGAACCACTGCCCCGCATACTCAACCACCACACAATCCAACACTCACTGAGAACGCATCGCGCCTTCAAACGATGAACAACACCCCTGCCCCCCCCCCCCCCCCCCCCCCCTCCACCCCACCCCCCCCCCCCCACCCCACCCCACCCCACCCCACCCACCACCCACCCACACACACACACACACACACACACACACAACACACAACACACACCACACACACACCACACACACACACACACACCCCCCCACCCCCACCCCCACCCCCACCCCCGGCCACCCCCACCCACACCGCCCGCCCACCCGCCCCCCGCCCGCCCCCCCTCCCCCACCCCCCACCACCCACGCACACGCACACCGACACCCGCCAACCAACCGACAACGCATTACAAACACCCGCACAACACCCCACCCACACACTCAGACCCCACAGCACCACCGCATCCACCCCACCCCACCACCTAACAGCATTCACCCAACGAGTCCTGGGCGTCCTCTTTTGCGGGGTGTTCGAACTGCGTATGACATGCGTGGCATGTGCCATGGCGGCTTGCAAATGGGCAGGTTGCGCGCCCGCAGACGCGACGCTATTCCCCGTCGGAGCCACGCCCCCGCTCCGCCACCCTGCGCGACGGGGGCGCCCCCCCCCCCCATTCCCACCCCTGCCCCTCCAACACAGGGCACCACCGCGCGCGCGCACCGCCCCCAGCCCCCTCGCCCCTTCCCACACCACACCACACCACAACCCCCCAGCAGCCTTCCACCAACCCCACACACGCACGCACGCTCCGCGTTCCACCAGCCCCGACGTCTCCTGCACGCGGGGGGCACAGGCCGCCGCGAACCCTGGAGCTGCGGCCTCGCGAGCGAACGCTGCTGTTCCAGCGGCGCCGCGAAGGCTTCAAACCCAATGCGCGGACACATTGTCATGAGACAAGCGGGGCCCTTGCGGCAAAGTTGCTTGCGGGTGGCGCGGTGGCGCCCTCTCAAACTCGGCGCTTTGCCGCGCCATGTCGCCATGGTGGGCGACTCGGACTGAGGCTGCTAGTTCGAGAGACGCATGTCCACCCGCGGCCCCTGGGCGACATGCTGCAAAGAACGCCCCATGGCTTAAGATTGCTGCTTGCGTCGTCACGCTGCGATCCGCCCCCGAGACGCCCGACGACCGATTGCCACGGGGTCGCGCCCGTGCAAATCAACGCTGCCTCCGCATCAGCCTTGAAGCAGACTTGCGCGCCCTGCGCGTTTCGGCGGGGCCCCTGATGGCGCCGGCCCCCGTCGCCAATGCGCGCCCCCTCGCCCCCCCCCCCCCCCCCGAGGCGGCCTCCGAGGACCTCTGGGTCGCTGCGCGCCCCGTCGCAAGTATGTCCCAGGCCCCCTGCGCACGCGCCATTTGGCGTTCGATGGAAGCGCAGGCAAGCGCGCCTGCGCCGCGGCTGCGAGAGCGCAGAGAGGGGGATGGGACGGGGGCGGGGGTAGAACGGAGGCGAAGGGGAAGAGGATGGAGGGATCGGATAGGAAAGGAGAAGGAAAAGCTGATAGGGATGGGGGGATGGATATCGGTGACAAGAGGGAAGGGGTAGGGAAGAGGGGGAGGTGAGGGCGGCGGGAGGGGGGGAAGTGAGTAGGGGTGCGGGGGCGGGACGAGGAAGGATAATGAGAGAGGGGGGGGATGGGCGAAGGTGGAGGGGCAGGGAGGGATGGGGGGGCGGCGGCATGCGATGGAGGGGATAAGGCGGAGGGGGGGGGGGAGGGGAAAGCAGGTAAGAGGACGGGAATGATAAGCTCTCGCAATCCACGCCTCACCCCCAAGTATTTCGGGGAGCCCGAAAAGAACGAGGTCGGCAGGAGGGCCCCGAGGCCCACGCAGGAATGTCATCCCAGTCTCCGCCAGGAGCCCCCCCGCCGACAAGAAACTCGCCACTGCCGCGCGGCCCGCCGCTATGTGCGGCGGGTCTTCTGCGCGCGCGCGCGGGCGCGGGCCGCGCGATTCGGCGGCCGCGGCCACGCGGGTATCGAATTGATGCTGGCTGGGCCGCACCTTGCGCGCACAATGGCGTCGTCGCGCGGCCTCCGCAAGCGGGCGCCGCCGCGGCCCCGCGCGCCCGAGCGGGCCCGCGCCGCGATCGCGGCCGAGCAGGTGCCCGTCGGAAACGCAGCGCGCCGCGAACCGCGCGAAAAACTCGCCGCGGCGCGAACGCAACTCGCCCTGGCGGCGGCCAACCCCGTCGGAAGACGTCGTCGGGCGTCAGAGATTGCCCTAGCCAGCTCGGCGAACTTCAGCTCCTGCACCGCGCTCTCCAAGGCCGCCTACCCCGCGGACAAATGCGCCTGGATAGCCGATCTACTTTGTCGGGCGACGCAGGCGCGACCGTCGCGCAATGCCCATTGCAAAATGCGACCGACGTTGAATTGCCAACTGAAGCCAGCCCCAAACAATTGTTGACGCTTCGCGCATTCCCACCAGCCCACCCAGAAACGATGCCCATGACAGCTGGCGGGCGAGGGAGGGATAGACATATAGTCAAGCAGCGCGGGTAACAATAGTGAATTGTGTTGGAAGCCTCTTGGGGCGCCTGGCGCGCTTATTGGATGCCTCGGTGATGCTCTTGAGGCGCCTTTGGGTGGGGGCGGGGGGTGGGCACTTGTGGGTATTTTGGTGGCCTCTTGGACGGCTCGTGGGGCCGTTTGGGCGGCCCTTGGGGCGCCTGGTGGGGTCAT